AAAAGCATGTGAACACAGATGTTATAGATATGTGCATTCCCAACGTTTTAAATACAAGTTAAAAGGGCAGTTTACTGTTTTCATTTTTTTCTTCTTTCAGAAACTGCTTGGCAACCACAATCCAAATGAATCCAGGGCTAATAATGCAAGTTGAGTGTCTGACTCAGTTGAGGACAGCTTGGATTTTGTACACTGGGTGGAAATTTCATGAGACTCACGCTGTATTTTAGTTTTGCAGGCCTCGCTATTTTTAGCATTGTGTGGCTTGAATCTTCAAAGAAGTTCTTGAGAATAAAATCGGAGTTATCCACATTTTAAGTGCAGGCCACATGGCACAATTTGGTGAGATAAATCTGTGAGAAATTCCCAAATATGAATCACATATGTGGGGAAGAATCTGGCCCACAGACTTCCTTTAATTAAATGCCTGTCTAATAAAATATCGGCAATGGAATACAGATGACTGTTAAAAAGAGCTGGAGCAAATCATTTTAGATTCTGGAACTCATTAAATGCATTTCTCCATGCTAAGATGATTACTTGCAATTTTATTTTGCCCTGAACAAGCAGCAACAAAACCAACCACAAAAGGGTCTACAATTCACATATTTTGAAATACTACCTAATCGAAGATATTTATATAAGGAGGCCTTGGAGTAGGCCTGAGTGGCTTGGGGATTTGTTTCTAGCAAATTGTCTCCCATTCAAGGCCTTCATGATATCATCTCCTAGAATAGCCCTTATGTGAAGACCTGGGTTCCCTGATGATCCCGGAGACCGCTTCACTATATGTTGTCTTGGAAAACCCTCTGGAAATCTGAAAGAATTCACAGGCTTCTAATCTGTTGTCTATTCTTCACATTGCTCAAGCCCCTCTCTGATCTTCCCCGACTCTTACTTCAACTTTATGCCTGCGCACACCTCCGTAAACCACACAGTGAGATTCCAGAGGCCAGGGAAAGAGTTGTGCAAAAGGTCAGGGCGTGGAAGGTGAGATGGTGGAGGCGGTTGACTTTCCTTGATCTATATGCACAGTGAGATACCACGTCACTCTACAAACTGGCTCTGCCGGGCTCAAAGAATGACGGCGTTTACACTCCCACCAACGCTTGGAATCAATTCGTGCAGGGCCAGCTCCTCCAGAGGCAATTAGTGAATATTCCCAGCACTTCAGGGTATGTGGCTTTTGAACTACACTCCCTCCCTTTTAAGCACCGTTAATCACACAAGGATTATTGTTTTCATAAATACTGGCCAAGAGGCCGGAAATGAGTTGCTTGGCTGGTACCAAACCAACACAAGGGAAATTCTACAAACAGCCCTGAAAGTGGACAATCTATTCGGTATAGAACTGAGTGCTCCACTGTTGATCAGCTGCTTTTAAATTCACTTCTTTAAGGAAAAAAGCAAAACAAATTACTGGAGCCTGTTTTGCTTTGGAGGTTTACATTTGATGTTTCACATCACAAGGCTGGGTAAGTTAATATTATTACTCATTCACATTTCATTATGAGACTGCTGTATAATTAGAGGTAAAGAGAAAACTCACTTGGACAAATCACATTCACAAATAAACCACAGGATTGCAAATGTGACCCTGTGTAACTCACATTTGATTAGATTTTTTTATACAGTAAACTGATATCTTTTTCTAAGTCTAAAACAGAATATGCAAAAACAAGTCATAACTGCAAAAACACTATGGTATAGAAAGCAGGAGTCCTTCCTACCTAGTACGAACTACAATTGCCTAAGTCTACATGATTCCTGGTCTCTATATGACTTTATTTATTAATCCATACGAGAGTCTCAAAAATTAAAATATTGACTCACAAAGGTCCTACTGCAGGAAGCGGTCACTTACAGTAAAAAAGCTGAAGTCTAGGAACAGGGTTCTAGCTTTGTCACTCACTGTACGTCCAGGTGAAGTCTCCTAGCCTGGTTAGAACAAGGTTTCTCATCCAGAAAATGAAGGCTTGCCCTAGGTAATCTGGAAGGTCCCTTCCAGTTTTAAAATTCTGTGACTCTGTTAGGTATATAAATCTAAAGTAAGATGTAAAAAGACTACTTCAATGAACATCTTTCAAACTATCCAATAATCCATTTGATTCATCAATCATGCATTGAATCAAATGATCAGGAGGTTAAAACAAAAGTTTGTATACAAATGAATTAAGTTCTCAGAAGCCTAAAAACCAGCTTCTTGACATTCAGGTGGACTGACGATGACTGTGAACCACAAAGCCAGGCAGTCCTTCTACTGGTGATGTGCTGCTACCAAATTCTACTCAGTTTCCCAAACAGGTTCAGCCTCTTCTCTGCAAGAGTCACATAATGTGTTCAGCAAGGCCACTGGCATGGTGGCACAACAGGGACTTAGCATTCTAAAACTTTTTTCAATAATTCTGTAGTTACTTAGAATCTAAAAATCTGATTCTACAATTCACCTTTATTGAAAAAATACCAAAGACTGAAAAGTACTAAAGAACAGGCATTAAAAAAACAAATTTCATTTGTGATCCTCGTCTTACTCTGCCAGCAAGCTCAAAATTCAGCTAATCTTTTAAACTAGATTCTAGAAGGCAATTGTATCTGGCTGAAAATGACCCTTGGCCTTGGGGGCTCACGTGGCCCTCCAGACCAATTAAATAAAAATGTCCAAGGTCAGGGCCCAGGCATCACTAATTTTAAAATATATAATATAATGCAAGTTAAAAACCAGGCTCTCTTATCTAAATTGCAGGTCTGCTAGCAAAAGGCACTGGTTTAAGATTTAAAGAGAAATCAGACTTCTCACAGAGAAACATCAGGAGTCACTTCCCAAGACACTCACTGTTCACAAGAGTGAGCAGTTGAGAACGTGCATGAAACCAGCGGCATAAAAACCAAGGACCACGGCTCTGGGAAACGCTCCTTCTCTGTGTTGTGCACAAGGCGAAGGCAGGCATTCCGTGTGCTCGCCTCCTGGGGACAAATGCCCATTGCAAGGCTTTCCTGTCTCCTGCATCGTCCGTCACTCAACGGCATTTCTATGTTTCACCAAGAGGTTCCGACAGCCAGAGTTACAGCTTCTTAAAACATAACTATTGCCGAAACCGGTTTGGCTCAGTGGATAGAGCGTCGGACTGCAGACTGAAAGGTCCTGGGTTTGATTCCGGTCAAGGGCAAGTACCTTGGTTGCGGGCACATCCCCAGTAGGGGGTGTGCAAGAGGCAGCTGATCGATGTTTCTCTCTCATCAGTGTTTCTAACTCTCTATCCCTCTCTCTTCTTCTCTGTAAAAACTTAATAAAATATATTAAAAAAACACACACACAAAAACACATAACTATTCACCCACAACGCAAATCCAAAATCAAAACAACAGCCCCATGTAAATTATCGTTTGAGGATTTGACAACCTTTATATCATTTTATGTAAGTTTAGAAAGAACAAATAACTCCAAATTCTTCCCATTACAATGTTCATTACTCTTGACTAAGGTTTCACCGACACTGAATCTCCACTAACAATCGACTTACATTTGGCCTCGAATTTTGTCAAATCCCGACTTTGGGAGGCATCGAAAACCTGCCCTCCTTTTAAAGAAAGAGGGTGGGGGGGAGTAAAACCAACACCTTTCTGGATCTCGATGACGCTCTGAAAACAGAAGGATGATCTGCACACAAAATTAAGCATTTATAGAAAACGTTCCACACACGCCATATGCACGATCAGCTTCCTACAGAGTCTTTCTTTCTAGCCTCCGCCCAGAAAGATCGACAAGCTCCCGGTGCCGTGTCATGATGACCTGCTCTTTATCTTGGTCACCTTTTTTGGGAAAGCAAGCCACCGTGTGAAGTTCTGTCTCTCTGGAAGATTTTAGAAGTCAGGTGTTGCCCTATCCAAACATGTGCCTGCCCAAAACGTCCTCTAACAAATGTGGATCACGAATGAACGAGTCACTAGCACAGGGGGTCTGCAGGAAACCCTGGCCTCATGACTCCCAGCTCCTGACACGTAAATGCATGCCTTCTAGTCTCCTCACTCATCCTCCTCCTCCTGCTCCTCGCTCAGATGCAGGCCATCCATGGCCTTCTTACTTCTCCGCGGGGAAGGGGAGCCCAGCACCGCGGGGTTCCCAAACACCAGGGGCTGGCTCCAGGGGCTCACCGCCCCCGAGTCTGAATCACTGGATTCAGTCCCGCTGCTGGTGGAGCCCTCGGCCAGCTGCAGGGGGACCAGGGGGTCTGCCACGGCGCTGGCACAGCCCGGCTGCATCCCGGGGACCCTGGGGGCAGGACCCAGGAGAGGGGCCCCATTCGCCAGCATTCTACCTTCCGAACCGGCCAGGCCGGCCGGCTCGCCCTTCCCGTGGCCATCAAGCCTGTCCAGGGCCTCGGGGATGGATGCCACCTGGCTCAGGATGAGCGGGTTTGTCTCTGACTTGTTGTATCTACTGGGGAGGTTGCGTAAGTACGGCCTCTGTGAGACGGGGGAGCCGTTTTCATCACGAGGACCCTGGCCGGGGAGAGCGTCTTCCCCCACACTTCCCTCCCGAGGGCCGTGCCCGTTTTCAGAAACATAGCCTTGAGACCCGGTCCTATCCCAACTCAGATCTGGACTTGAACTTCTGCTGCTGGGAGACAACGGCGTGGCCAGGGGGCTGCGGCCGCCGCAGCCCCTGAACATCTCATCTATCAGGGAGCTATGCCTCGGGAGTCTGGGGCTCCCGCTCATGTCAAAGGTGATGTCTGCGGAATCGTCATCCAGGAATTCTCTGGAAGGAGGCCGGGAGGACTTCCCCGAGCGAGGGGAAGCCCTGCCCCTTGCGTCTCCCCGCCTCTCCTCCCCAGAGAGCAGATACACACCACTGGTCAAATCACCCTCATAGTTGTCATTTGTTTGGGACCGTGACCGGGACGTCTGTTCCCTGAGCAGGTCGTATTCGCTATCTATATCACTGCAGTCAATGAAAGGAATAGAGGTGCTGCTGCCTCGAGCAGCCCTGGATGCTGGACCTGTGCTTGGCTGTGGGGGCTGAGGTTTACTCTGCTGGGTCCTGTCCTTGGCGACCTCCTCCTCTTCCTCCGCCACCGCCGCCGCCGCCTCCACGGCCACACCGGCCCGCTGGTGACCCGCCGGGCTCTTCTGCAGAGCGGGGCTCTGGCGCGGCCCGCTCTCCTCGGCGGACGCCTTCCGTTCCTTTGCTTGCTGGGAGCTCTGGCCGCCTGGGGATTCAGCACCTTCACCGGGAGTGAGGCTGGCCCTCTGCTGAGCCTGGGAGGGAGGGGGTGGGGGAGGGAGAGAGGATAAGGGTGAGAAGATCGGAGAGAAGAGGCAGACGGTGACACCAGAGCTGGAGAGAAAGATCCGGCCTCACTGAATTGTATCTCCATAAGCTTTGGGCAGCCTGCAGGTATCACCAAATGAAGGCCCGCCTCCCTGGTGTTGGTGCCGGAAACAAATCAGTTTCACTAAAAGAGCGATGTGGACAGGAAGCCAGGAAGGCTGGTCAACAACCTTAATTGCTCTAACCACTCACCCGCTAGTTGAGACATTGTTTAGCTGAAGCAGCCTCCACCTTGTTTGTCCAGTGAAAGCTTCTGTTATTTCCTGCCTAAGGGCTACATGTAAATTCTGTTAATGTTGCCTAGGATGTTTTCCCCAAAGCCTCAATAAAAGGGGACGGCAGGGCCAGAGCAGGAGTAGTTCTCCCACTCCAGTTGGTCTACTGCCTGCCCCCCCCACCCCCCATCGCCAAATTGAATTTCTTCAAGTCTCAAGTCCTTTCATTTGCATGCGGCCCTTCTCCAGAACCCGAACCCTGAATAGGAATCTCTTTCACGTCCTTGGAACTCTTCCCACGTGGGACGTGAAAGAGATTCCTATATTTAGGACAGAGGTCTGACAAGCAGTGGGCACCCCTGATTGCCTTTGTCAGTATCCAGAGAGTTCTTTCAGAGTGCAGGAGCGGCAATGCCGGGTCCCTGGCAGCACCAGGTGGGCAGTGTCTCTGCTCTCTGGGACTCCCCAGTCCCAAATCACCTGTGAGAAAAGGAGCCCCCCAGCCAGAGGGATGTCTGGAGAAGTGAGATCCGGGACAGGAAGAACACCCTTCGTGGACCCCAGTTGGGAGCTGACACGGATTTCAGACAAGTGACAAAAAGCGTCTTTGTTTGTGCTTCTAAGACTAGAATGAGCAGGCCGAGGGCTCTCTTTGGATCACACAATGAAATCTCCTTCGTGTCTTTCCCAACAAAGTTCTTATTCTCCTGTAGAGAAAACCCTGAAAATCCATCCAGAGACCAGCTCCAGGGAAAAGGAGCTCTCCCCGCCCTCAGAGCAAGAGCGATAACGTCTCCTGCTGCCAACTGCGGCCACTGGCCTGAAACGCGAGCCCTGGGATCTCACCGCCCGCCCGGGCCAGTGCCAGCGCCAGCGAGAGGTCCTGCCCTCGGCACAAGAGGGCACCTATGCCTGTTGGTTGCAAATCAGGCCCCATCCCTTCACACAAGCGTCCCCGTCGGCTGGAGGGTGGGCTCTGCTCTCCTGACTCCCGTGGAAGCCTGACTCCCGTGGAAGCCTCTACCCTCAGGCCAACAGAGCGAGCGTCTCATGGGGAGAGCAGGGGACGGGGGAAGTGGGGAGTCGGCTGAAAAAGCATGCTCCAGCCACGGAGCCCAGCCTGTGTCCCCAAGATCAGGGCACACAGCTGGACTCTCCTCTAGGAGTCACCCGCACAGGTGAAGGATGCGGAACTCGAAAGCATGCTACCAAACAGACCCCGGCAGGCGAAGTCCGTGAAAGCAGAGCTCAAACAGTCTACCGCCAGTACTCACTTGTTTTGGCACTTCCGAATTCGGCTCCGTGGGCTGCATAGCAAGGCTTCGGATGGAGTGAATCTTGCTGTGTTTCCTTGGAGAAAACACATAGGACAGCTCAAGTTAGGTGAGTTTTTTGTTTGTTTTTGTGTGTGTGCGCGCGCGTTCGTATTTTTTCTTAATGAAAAATAACAGCATTGGGCACTTCCTCAAAAATGAAATCACCAGAAGCAGGTGATATAAATGGCCCCCTGGAAGCAGGCCCAGTCTCCTTTCCCATGAACTCTTGTAGGTTCCAAGATTACATAAACCTTGAGAGAGTTCTCAGCAATCCCCTGCTCCTGTTTGAGGGGTACAGCCGGTTGGGGTCCTAGCAATGGGGCTCTAACTGTAGTTATGGGAAAAGTCACTGGGGGGAAGGGGGGGGGGGGAGACATAGGCTCTGAATTGCAAGCTATGATCTCACAATATGAAATCAACTCGTGCTTTTGGGGTAGTGATTTCCTAGATCAGTTCTACAACAGAGACAATTACTACTCATTGGTTAATCCTTCCATGGTGTTAAGTTCAGAGGAGAAGAATGGCCCTGAGAGTGAATTACAGACTCAACAGTAGAGAGAATTGGTTCTAATGCCACTCATCATCTGTACCCTTCCTTCTTCTGTCCATCCCTTCCTCCCCAGTAAACAAGCATTAGGAACTTTCAGGTACTCAAATGCGTGAAACTATAGAAACATAGAAACGTGAAATTCCAATGTGCATCCAGCCTTCCTTCAAAATAATCCAAATTAATTCTGGACCAGAGAAAGAACTGGGCCACTTCTTCTATGACCCTCGAAAGATGAATGGCAGATTGTCCAAGAAAAGCATGGGGCTTGTTCCTTCAAGGTGAGCATGCAAATAACCCACTCAACATTACATTTCTGGGAGGGAGAAACGGCCCAGCCCTGCACCAGGAGAAATACACAAAGATGACCACAGTAGGTTTGCTTCTGCAAAAGCAAAACGCCAGACAGCCCGAATGTTTACCAACAGGGAATCAAGTAAATAAAAGGTAATGCCCTCAAAACCAGGAAACACGTAAAAAGATCCCAAATCGGGGAAGCATTTAAAAAGATGCAGAATTTGCACAGTGTGATACCACTTACACACACACACACACACACACACACACACACACACACACTCCAGAGCTAGTCTATTTATTTTTTCTGGATGCACACAGATGGGTAACAGAAGTGACATGAATTAGCCAGGTGTCTTCTGGGGAGGAAAGAAGGGAAATAAGAAGGCTGTAGGTAAGAAAGGCACATACATCTGTAACATCTGTAACAATAGCTACAGGTAAAAGAAGAAAACTCCAGAAACAGGTCTGTTAAAATGTTAATTCTAAGTAGTAAGAATATGGGTGTTTGCCGTAGTCTGTGTTCTTTATTGTAACTTTTTAATGTATAAAAAAGCATGTCATGGTCAAAAAGGAGCCCAGAGTGACAGTTTTCCTTGACGGTCGCCGTTCTGTTTGCTGTAACTGATCTGCAACATTTCAGGAAAAGACAATTCTCATGGAAAAAAAAAAAAGAAGAAAAAAAGAAAAAGAAAAAGCATGTCATGAACAGTCCTGGGAGCACCATCATCCACACCTTGACCCTTGGGTCTTAGTCCCTCTGGGTTCCCTGCGTCTCCCGCCCTGGGAGGCAGAGCAGCTCCAGGGCTCCGGGACCAGCTGACCAGCTCAGAGACGGGGGCTAATCACTCAACCTCTTTGAGCTGTAGTGCCCCCACCTTTAAAAAAGAGACTAATGCCTTAACCAGTTTGGCTCAGTGGATAGAGCATCAGCCTGCAGACTCAAGGGTCCCAAGTTCGATTCCGGATAAGGGCATGTGCCTTCAACCAAGTGTGCAGGAGGCAGCTGATTGATGTTTCTCTCTCATCAATGTTTCTAGCTCTCTATCCCTCTCCCTTCCTCTCTGTGAGAAATCAATAAGATATATTTTTAAAATAAAGGACTAAGACAGCATGGACCTCACAGCATGGGTATGAAGACTACGAGTAAATACATCTGAAGAACTTGGAACATGGCTCGGGACATCATAAGAGCAATAAACACTGGCTAACGACAGCGATGATAAATCCTATTTCTTCTCCTCCAAACTTGATTTAATGAAAAAGTTCATAAAAAATACTTTCAATTCAACTCTCCAAAATAGTTAAAGGACTCACCAAGGAGTAAGTTATCCCCACCATAATTTCCTATTCCTCTTGCCTCCCTCCCCTCTGCTGGCTTCTCCCTCTTCTTCCTCCCTGGTCCTCTCAGTCCATTCTCTTCCTCTCCGCTTTGCATGGAGGAAGTACCCTGGGCCCTCCCAGGAGCCTGCCTCACACTTCACTGGCCGAGGTGACTGTGAAGCAGCCACTCTTAACTCACCTCACCGGGGTGCAGAGACATCTAGCAGCGGTTGCACTGTTACCTGGAGAGGACTTGACTCCTCTGGTATCGACGCAGCACGGAAGTTCCTCTTACCTTTCAAACTGCACTTTCTTATGTCCTCCTTCTTTAACGTAGTCGAGAACCTGCTTCTGAGTCCGGCCGCTAAAATGAGGACCACGAGAAAAAGGGGAAGACAGCAAGGCGTTCTCATTGAAGCACACAACACGCCACTCCACCATCCTCCCTCCCCTCCTCCCATAACACGAGGCAGGTGGGCTTTCCCAGCTAGACAGCAGTGAAAGCAGACTAAGGAAAACCGTGTTTTTGTGTCTATTCTGCCTCTTGATGTTTCCCTTTAAACTAAAAAATAAAATAAAAGGTTCAATGAACTAAACCACTTGATTCTATGCGTGGTTATTAGGGGGCACCCCGAGTCTGTATGCTCTGTAGAGGCAGGGGTAATTCTGTCCTCATACATCCCCAATGGCTAGCAGTGTACTTGATGTGCAGTGGGCGTTAGACGTGTTGAAAGAAAGAGTGAAAAAGTGAGCTGACAATGAGCAAGTCTAGCTGCATCAAATGTTAACAAGACACTTGCTTCTAGAGTAAGGTGACCAGACGTCCCGATTTTTAACAATTTGTCCAGCGGCATTTTAAAAAAGGGATGCGGGACAAATGGTTAAAAATCGGGACTGTCCTGCCAAGAGCGGGACGTCTGGTCACCTTATTCTATAGAGAGAGGAAGGACTTTCTGAATTAGAGGCCTGTTCAGAGTTTACGGGCCTGGTGGCCTGCCTCACGCCCGACATTCACACAGCACACAGCAAGGATCTGCCACGGGGCCTACTGGGATGACCAAGCCCACCCCCCCGGCTCTCAGGGACTGACTCGACCTTGTTTCCCCGCTGAAGGGCACAGTGGCTGCGAAAGGCAACGGCACAAGGAACGTCTTGGGGGGAGATGTTTGCGTGGCCGGCGGAGAGGTCCGAAGCCGAATCCTTACCTGAACCGAAATGATGACCCTCGACTGAAAAGAACAGGCTTTGGCTTTGGTTTGGGCTCTTCAAAAAGTCTAAAAAACGCGTGATGTTCAACACAGATTTTCCAGAAGGACTTGCAAAAATCGCGGCTGGCCATGAGGAATTCCAAGGTGTCCTGGTACGAGCTCTGGAAAGAGAAAACACCACTTTGGTTTCTTTTCTTTTCTTTTTTTTTTTTTTTTCCCCCATTTCCCACAGACATTGGGTTGAAAAATGAGAAAATGGACAGAAAACAAATGAGTCCCATAAAACTTCAGCTGCATGTTTTATTAGAGCATGACCATAAATTCACATATTTAGTAAAATATAGCTGCTCCTAATGGTACAATAGTTATACCATTCAACCCTTTTCTTCCCCACAGAATTCCTTAGAGAAACTAACAGAAACCAGGGGTGCTCAGCAAAAACCATCACATTGCTTTTGACAAAATTCATAAATAAAGTGTATGTGCTTGGCTTACATTTCCTTCTTAAAAAAAATAAAATAAAATAAAAAAAATACAAGCACTGAGATTCCTGTTTTGCCTCCATAAGTGGAGCACAAATCCCCCCCCCCCCCCCCCCCATGATTCATGCTAACGTTCAACATTGGTCTTAAGTCTCTTCTCTTCCCAAAATCATATGGCTTGAGCCTCCAGGTGGCCCTAGGGACCACAGAGGAAATGAACAGTTTTTTTTTTGTTTTGTTTTGTTTTCTTTTTCTGGAGCACAAACATATCGCTCAAGGCTGAAAAATGCGTGTCCTTTGATTTTGGAAAGGGGATATGGCAATTTTCTATTCCCAGACGGAATGCTCCTAATTTAAGTGGCCGCATTATATAAACAAAAGTTACCACAGACCCTGAATGTCCCAGCAGTTCCAGCTATTCGGGGGATGGGGGGGGGGGGGGGAGGATCTCACAGTTCTGGGCAGCGCAGTCCCAACTTACAAACGCGTTGGGCTGTCATTTTTCATGGGCACGTCGGCCTTATGGAACTCAAATTGCATTTTCCCACGGAAAACGACTTATAAATGGGTGTCTGCTTCCGAGGTCAGGCCATAAAAGCCTTACTTAATCCATACTGTAGCTGTACTGTGGGCCTCACCACCCATTTATAATCTTTTTTTCCATGGGAAAAAGCACTCGGAGTACCAGCTGGGGACATCAGAGGTGTATTATCCATCTCCTTCAGCGCCATTTCCGGCTGTTTCTCTCTCTCTGACCCAGTCCCAGTGTGAGCGCCATCTGCAGGGTCTGCGGGATGTGGACCTGGTTAGCTCATGAGAACACACCGTCTGAGGTTTGGGACAGCAGCAGCAGGGCCCCAAGAGGTGGGGGCCGCTGCCGGTGGGCCGGGATGTGCCGGGGACACGGCAGAACACGGAGAGTGTCTCGGGGGGGCCGGAGGCTGGAGACACAGCCACGGCAGACCTCGGGTTGTCAGGAGGGGCTGCTGGTGTCTGCACAGGTAGGGACCTTCTCCACATCTGTGCCAGCTCTCCTTCTGTCTCCTGACAGTGACAGCTGTGGCATGACCGAGTATTTGAATGCATCTCTCTCTGCACAGACACTCCGCCTCCGAGTGGCTGTCGGCCAGTTTCAGCCTGTGCCCTCCCCTGGTCCCCTCCATCCCAAGGGTCCAAGGGTCTCTCCCTCTTTCCTGGGAGCCACTTACATTCGCATCAGGGCGGAGCTTGATGAGAAAGCGCTTCCTCTTGAAGCTCAGCTTCCGCACCTTCGCCCAGTTGAAGGCATTGATCTTCGTGAAGCCCTGAGAGGAAAAGTATCAGCCAGTGAGTCAGGAAATGCACAATAGGCAACACGAGAGTTGGTGCGTTGGTTATGGGGGATTTCCCGGGGGGCTGATGCTGGGTGGCTCAGGAAGAAAGCATATCGCTGGAGAAGTCACAGAAGTGCAGCTGTGGGGTGATGCCGGCTCCTGGATCGTGATTTCTCACTAATTACATGAGCTGGCATTCCAACTCAGTCTGCCTCCAGGGAGGAAAGAGGCTGGCCATGGGAATTAAAAAAAAAAATAAAATAAAAATAAATAAATAAATAAATAAATAAATAAATAAAAATAAAAACCATGACAACCACCGCCATAATTAGCAATCATTACTTACAGAATGCCAGGCACTCAGGCTGAGGACTTGACAGATCATATCAAACCTTACACAAAACCCAATGAGGAGGCTTTCTTTTCTTCTTTTTATAGATGTGGAATCTGCAGCATGGATATTATTTTAATTTGGCCCAAATCACACTGTGAATGTGGCAGAATGAGATCCCCGAGCATGGGTCTGAGCCAGCAGTTGTTCACATCCACAGATGCAATACTGCAGGTCAACAATCACCGCTTTGTCCACCTGGCCTGGCTCCTGTGACCACAGGCTTCCAACAGCACAATCAGGGCCTGGGAGGGGAGGCCCCGCCTTCCAGAGTGGTCTCGGGGAAGGACTCACACCCCCTCATCTTTGATACAGCAAAGTGGGACGCGGTGGAGAAACAGGGGGCAGTGGCCAGACCCCAGCTCCATCTGTCCTATCATCTCAATTAAAAATGGAATTCCTCCACCAGGGCCATTTATTTAAGCTGGTTAAGAATGGAGCAATTAGGTACCGACAAGCAGATTAATGCCAACACACAGTCTTCGAACATGATTAAATTACCAAGGAAGTCTCAATATTTAGATTGCATCAAATACAATCAATGCTAATTAATACAACTGTGAGGCACTTCTTTCCTCCCCCCTATAACTTTTAGAAATGTTTACGGGTTTTCATTTTGAATTAATGGCAGTACTGAAAACTATACTTAGTGTGTTGTTGTTTTCCTCATCAGGTATGCCCACGTTATTTTTGCAGGTCCAAACTGAGGAGGAATCACCTCCTTACACACCACACTGCTCTCAACACGTCACTCCGTGACCCCATGTGAATCCCACCTGACCTCTTTTCTCGGGACACAGGTCTGTGGTCCTTAGGATCCATCAGAAACATCCGATAGAGGAGCAGAGAATCGTAGGCTATTTGGGTAAAATGCGAAGGGGGGGAATGTAACCAAACCTGGCAGAACTCAACAAAGTTGTAGGTTATGTACCCATTTACACCTTCAACACTGGGTGGCATCTGACCCTATTGCATGGGAAAGGCAGACACTTTCTCAACCCCCATGTGAAGTCAAAGCACAGATTACCTACGTGTGTTTAAAAGAAAAGCCTTGAGAAAATGGGGGCGGGGAGTTTGGTGAATACGTTCGTTGTCTTGATTTCATTGGTGGGTTCACACGATATACATATAGAAGAACTAATCAAAGGGCACTCGTTAGAGATGTGCATTTTATTGCATGTCAAGAATTATGTCAGTAGCCCAAACTGGTTTGGCTCAGTGGATAGAGCGTTAGCCTACAGACTGACGGGTCCCAGGTTCGATTCCGGTCAAGGGCATGTACTTTGGTTGTGGGCACATCCCCAGTAGGGGGTGTGCAGGAGGCAGCTGATCGATGTTTCTCTCTCACTGATGGTTCTAACTCTTTATTCCTATCCCTTCTCTCTGTAAAATATCAATCATATATATATATATATATATATATATATATATATATATATATATATATAAAGAATTATATCAATAAAGCTTTTAAGAGAAAGAGAAGCATCAATCATTAAAACAGTATATTAGCAATGTGATCAGGAGAGCGCACACCTCAGAGGGCAGAGAATCGTATGTCCTTAGGAAAACACAAGTAGGATCCACCCAAGGGAGGTATGCGTTTTGTTGCAAAATTACTGCAGTACAGATTATGGCTTTCATAAACTTATGAAACTGCTCTAGCTTACAAGTAGATACTACACTTTTCAAGTTAGGTAAAAGTGAAATCAGAAAAAAGCTTATGCAAAACCCAAATTAAGTTTAAAAAAAAAAAAGGATCACATGACTATCATGTACAATTGTGCAAAAGGTTATTGTGGTGTCTAAAGTCTTGGTCCCATTACACATGTTCCAAGCACAGGTCCACCGAGAGATACTGATTTCTGTGATCCAACAAAGTGAGCAAATGCAAACAAATCTGTAACAGTAAATTCCCCCACCAGTGAAATGGACCTGGAAGCTGAGTGGCTGGAAAGAAGCAGGAGCCCTGAGATGAGGTTAGTTTTCCCTGTTCGCCTAAAAATAACTACCAGAGGTCTTAGCATGGACCACCCAGCATGGAACCAAAGAGGAAGGCCCAACCCTTATCTCTCATCACAAGGGAACTGAGTGTGTTCTAAACGCTCTTACCTGAAACACGAGAATTCCTGTGTTCGCAACAGCCAGGTTGATCTTGGTACCTTCCCTGTCCTTCGCCGGGTGCAACCGGATCCCGTACATCTCCAGCTTCCGGGCAATCTCCAGGAGCTGGAAATCTGATTCTGCGGGTGTTTGTCCACTGACAGAACAAAATTGACAGAGAAAGGCCAGGAGATTTGAATTCCCTGTGTCTATTAATTTGAGATTAAGGAGCTTCTCTCGGGAAATAAAAAGGCATTTCATCACAAACAATGGGGCTACCCGATCAGATGACACCCAACCTCCCATTCATTATAACCCAAAGTCCAGCAGCTAGAACAAAAGCGCTATTGCTGGTGTAACACAAAACTCCAAAAATCTATCTCAAGCTTGGACCAATTTTTTTTGAATCTCAAAGAGTTCCCTTTAAGGTCACATAAAAGCAAAACACCATCGTGTTAAAACACGTTTTTAGTCACTCACAATAGACCTTAACTTGCAAACAAAGCTCAAGGCACCATTCTCTCATATTATCATCAGTATCCAAGCGCCCTCCTTAAAACAACAACAACACAAACAAAAGGCACAGAGACTCCTTTGAAAATGTTTCACTGATCCAAACAAAAAACCAATCTGGAGATGGTACAAAGGGTCTAGATTTTCACAATGTTCTCACTTCGTCCCTAGAATACCATGTCAATTTCCCAATCTCCTTTTACTTGGCTGTATACTCTCCCTTTTATTCCAAAGCATGGGTTGTCCTAAAATTCCAGCGTTAATTTGGTCTCACAGTTAAAAAAAAAAAAAAGGCCACGAGGCCCGGAGCACTGCTTTTGAGTGGGTAAACCTGCATTTCAGAGACTCCTGGGTGAGTCATGGCAATCCCATGAGCCTCTGGGATCTTCTCCCTCACCCTTTGCATATTTCCTCCCATGTATGTGGGAAGGATGGAGAGAAACAGGTACACGGAAACGTAAAACAACGAATAGACTTACACGTGGCTATGGTGAAATTCCACAATTTTGTCTTCTAGTGCGTCTTGCTGAGGTATGTACTTATTTTTTGCTAAGTGTTCTCTGTCCGATGCTTCATCAAAATCCCCAATCTCGGCTACAAAGAGACAGAGAAAGAAAACCCAGCCCATATGATTAATACTCCACAATTTGATCTATTCCCAGTGGAATATTCTCCAGCTAGCACATCAGAAGCTAGCCAACAGCAGCAGGCGATCCAAGCTGGTGAGTACCATAAGGGCTAGATGTCAGAAATGTGGACGTGAGGACATATTTAGCAACTGCTCCAACATAGAAAGATGGTTTCTACTCTTTCTCATCTCTAATACCTGGAAAGGAAACTTTGGAATTGTCCATCCTTAGCCATCCATGTTTCCTGGGGTTTGTTTCTTTCCTCCCAACACAACTAGAGGTTCCTTCTTTTCTAGGCAACAAGTCGAGCCACGGAGTTTACGGCCCATGACTTCTAAAGAAGCTCCCAAATTTCAGAACTTTACAAAATCAATTTTTGAAAGTCTTATATATAACCATGATTAGTAAAAACCCCAAACATTTTATCGTGCAGAGAAAAGACTATTGTAAATAGCTATTGTATAAAGGTATGGAACCTAATTTGGGTTTTTAAAAAAACAACTGCTTGCTAAATTTGTAGTCTTCTTATCAGAAATGATTGGTCAGCCCAGCTGGCATGGCTCAGTGGTTGTGTTGACCTATGAACCAGGAGGTGATGGTTTGATTACTGGTCAGGGCACACGGACAGATTGTGGGCTCAATACCCAGTGTGGGGTGTGCAGGAGGCCCCCAATAAATGATTCTCTCTCATCATTGATGTTTCTCTCTCTCTCTCTCTCTCTCTCTCTCTCTCTCTCTCTCTCTCTCTCTCTCTCTATTTTTTTCTGAAATATTTTTTTCTGAAATTAAAAAAATATATATATTTTTTATTTACTTCAGACCTTCCTGTCTGAAGTAAATAAAAATATATTTAAAAAACAAAAAAGAAATGATTGGTTAGACTATAAAGCTTATAATTTTTTTATCTACAAGAAACAGGATGCGTCTTTCTCTCATGTAACCTCAACAGAGTCCTCAGATTGCTGTAATCTGGATTGCTGTAATAGGATAGAGCTCAAAAATAATAATTGTACCTTAACAACAGCCCCACTCCATCTGTACCGTTTAAGAGTCTGGGATAGCCTGCCCTTTTCTCTGTGTCATGTACTCGGACACAAGCTTAAGAAGCAGCAGCGTAATGACCAGTGCCAGCTGTTCCGAGTAAGAGCAAGGGAACGGTTGCTATGAAACCTATCGTCGACTCGGTCATGAGAAGCAGCTTGTCATACTTTAGCCAGGGCCCCTCCAGGACTCCTGCAAGATGTTGCTATAAACCTCACCCTCTGGGAACATTTGCTCTGCATAAAACAGTGCCAGCTCACCAGGCATCCCCTGTGAGAATCAATCGCTCACTTCCTGCTGCGATGACAGATCAATAACACCATTTCCTAGACTTCACCTCCCTCCCTGGGTAAAGCTGCCACCCTTCCTCACAGAACACAGCGTGGGGACCTCTCTGGCCACACTGCCATCCTCGCCGGCTGCCTTGATGCTGGTGGCACTAACTTTTCTGCAATTCCTTCTACCTGGCCTCAAGAAAGTACAGTTCATTCTCCTTCTCACAGCAGTGATGTGCTATGAAGACCCCATGAACAGTGAATTGGCAAACACTAACCATCACTCCCAGAAGAGATACAGGGTTAGCGTCCTATGAACTCTTGGGGGGGAGGGGGGGGAATGACATTTTGGCCAACTGATTTTGTTTGGTGTGTTTCTGTTGAAAGTCATCCTATTTTATAGACATTTTCAATTCATTAGCATGGACCTTGCGGCCAACAGCACTGTCACTCATGCCTGAGCAAAGCTCAGCAGCCACACGTATGTTCTCCAGAAGGCACATCTCAGCCTTCCTGCACTTCGGAGCACTAGGCAGCAATTCAACATGGCTCTTGGGGACCATCGTAACCAGGGAATCACCAACAAAAAGCACAAAAATGAGAAAGTGTGGCATCAAACAGACCACTGGAGGCACCCTATTTATGGCAGGAGAGCTGAGACAGGGAGGCGAGTGCCTTTTCCGACCTCAGCCTGGAATGTGTGTGGGGGTCTCCCATTTTCCAGCATCTTGTGTATGTCTGCAGGACCACGAAAGCACCACAAGTATTGAGTTGGGGGTTACAAACAACTTTTATAGAGTAGCTGAGTTTGCACATACAGACTGCGTGTAGAATAATGCAGGCTGACTGCATGTGGGGGACTCACCTGAATCCCAATTTCTTGTTTGCTTTCAGTATGGGCTTCTCAATGCATATGGATTTTTTAGCACACTCCTTTCCCTAATTCAATGTAATAAAAGAACTGAGAATTCCAGTTTTTCCTTTGGCAACAGGGTCAATGCGCCTAATTGTCTTTTGTTTTTGTTTTTTTAAAATCCCTTTGCCTTTCACTGCCTGTGTAAAATGCAATGGCAACATAGGACTAAGAAATTCATTTTCTCCTCAGTGTGTTCTTCTCTGAAATATGGAAATACGCTCCTCCTTCTATGTGGAGTGTTTAAAAGCTGACAAATATTCAAGAAGTGATTTAGTATTTTTATGCGAGGATATCATATTTGCTTACACATATTCTAAATTCCACAGCCGTCTAGTCATGGCAAAAAGCAAGGACAGCGAGAACAACCCCAAACCTGTGATTTACTACATGGACTCTCACAAGGATGTGCCTGAACAACCCGCAGCCATGTGGAGTCTCCAGTGTGGAGACACCCAAACTGGAAGGCAGTCCTCCAAGCTACCCAAGTGGAATAGGAGCACTGGGGCTATCTAGTGATTGGTTCTTTATCAGCTTGTCTTACTTAATTGATTCATAATAAATGAAAGAAAATTAAAAGTGAGAAATATTAAGGGGCTATATAAGGCCAGTGACAAATGAAAAAGTATAGACTGTCTGAAAGAAAACTCCATGAATTCAAATAAAAGAGGAAAAATTTTAACAAAATTCAGATTGTGTATATAGATACACCCGAGACGAACATACAGCTCACTCAACTGTTTCATCAGCATTAATGTAGCTTTTGAAAAAGAGAAATGAGTTAACCCCTTGTACCTTACAGATAATGTAAATAATCAAAAATAATTTTTAAAAAATATATATTTTTATTGACTTCAGAGAAAAAGGGAGAGGGAGGGATGAAGGGAGGGAGAGATAGATAGAGAGAGAGAGAGAGAGAGAGCAATGATGAATGAGAATCATTGATTAGCTGCCTCCTGCATGCCCCACACTGGGGATGGAGCCTGCAACCTGGGCATGTGCCCTGACCAGGAATTGAACTGTGACCTCCTGGTTCATAGGTCGATGCTCAACCACTGAGCCACCTCAGTCGAGCTATCATCAATAACTTTAATCGACATACTAGTCACAGAGCATTGTGAAATTACCCCTTTTAAGAATGAGTGCATGGGATGGTTAAAAATGCAGAAATGGGACTTTAAAAAGATAAGATCATAAACATATTTTGTATGCCTCATTAGTGAACAAACAGTATGCAGATAGCAGGCATACTTTTTAATCTATCTCATTTTCTCTGAAGAAATCAAGATTCTCAGGGAGTTTTGAGCCTCTCAGTTTCCTGAGTGCTGGTGAACCTCCACTTCCCATCTGTGTGAGTGAGGTTTACTGTGTTGACTGACTTTACGAAGGAGAAACATAAGAGGAACCAACAGGCACAAGACTAAATGGCATCAGGAATAATAAAAGCTCAGGGCCATAAACATTTTATAAAGTTACTATTCCAATAAGGAAGCTTCATGTAAAAATGTTCCATTGTTTGGAAAGGGGGGTTACAGGAGTGAGGCAAAGAGAGTATGTTTACCGAACACCTAACATGTATTGGGATTTATTTATGCTAGCATTTAATTTTCACAGCCTTATGCAAAAGTTTTATTTTCATGTTCCAAAAGAAATAAGAGGTGGAGCCCTAGCTAGTGTGGCTCAGTAGGCAGAGCATCAGCCTGCGGACTGAAGGGTCCCAGGTTCGATTTCAGTCCAGGGCACACGCCCAGGTTGCAGGCTCCATCCCCAGTAGGGGGGCATGCAGGAGGCAGCCTATTAGTGATTCTCTCTCATCATTGATATTTCTATCTCTCTCTCTCTCTCCCTTCCTCTCTGAAATCAATGAAATACACTAAAAAGAAAGAAAGAAAGAAAGAAAGAAAGAAAGAAAGAAAGAAAGAAAGAAAGAAAGAAAGAAAGAAGAGGTGGAAATTAGAGGTTGGGGGCGGGGTGAAGTTTAGTAACATGTCAGGGTCATTAATCAACTAACAGAAATCAGGTCTGCCTGATCCAAACCCCCCTCTCTCCGCTACCATAGAAAGAGGGAAGACCAGACGCAAAAGGCAAGAGCTATGTTACTTTCTGAGCCAAAGCTTCCTCGCTTGTAAAAATGGAGATAGTAATAGCACTGACCTCACAGAGTTGTGAGAATGAATTGAGATACTGTACACACTGCTGGAACATAGGGAAGTTTAATAAAGGATACCTAATCCTGTTGTTCTTCTTTCTTACACCAGTTTTTCAAATTGCTAAGAAAGCATCTCTCTGCTAAGTCTGGTAGATATTCAATAATGCCCATATACCAAAAAAAAAAAAAAAAAAAAAAAAAGGAAGTTAAGTGTGGTCTATAGTAACACATCATCATATTACACTAAGGTAATTTGTGGACTACTACGAAGATATTTCCTACAAACCTTTAGAAGTCTTATTAACTGGGCACCTATCGAATGGGATGGGGCTGATTAAATGGGACTACTTTGTATACAATGGAAATTTTAAAATGCTAGCACAGTATTTTTTAATATTCGTGTTTATGTATGTTGGCCTTGATCTATATATAATACATAGTTACTTTCCCAAAACACCAAGTATATATTCCATTCAAGTAACTTCTGCCTTGGCTAAGAGGGAAAACATGCTCAGTTGGGCTGTTAGTAAGCCTCAGGATGAACATAATCTAATTTGTCCTTTGTCTAGGTTAAGAAAGTTAAAATATTGCATTTCAAGCCCTGGGCAGTTTGGCTCAGTGGTTAGAATGTTGATCTGTGGACCAAAGGGTTTTGGGTTCAATTCCAAAAGGCATATACTTTGATTGTGGTTTCATCCCCAGCCCCAGCCAATGTTTCTTCCTCTCTCCCTCCCTCTCTCTTTCTTTCTCTTTCTCTCCTCTCCCAACCTCCCTTCCACTCGAAGAATCAATGAAAAAATAATGACCTCTAGTGTGATTTTATTTTTATTTGTTTCTTTTTTAAAACATATTTTTATTGATTTCAGAGAGGAAGGGAGAGGGAGAGATAGAAAAATCAATGATGAGAGAGAATCATTGATCGGCTGCCTTCTGCACACCCTCTATTGGGGATCGAGCCCACAACTTGGGCATCTCTTGACTGGAATTGAACATGCGACCTTTGAGTCCACAAGTTGATGCTCTATCCACTGACCCAAAAATGGCTAGGGCTCTAGTGTGGATTTTAAAAAGTATCACTAGATCCAGTCCAGCCTCGTGTGTTCTGAACTCTAAAGAGCAGAATAAAAGTGAAATCTTTGACAGTTTTATGTTGTTCAGCTAATGTGCCACAGTTGATGATAAAGACAGAACAGGTTTAGTCTACTTGGCCCCCGTCCTCTAAGCTTCTCCTTTGAGACAGCTGAGATGTCCACAATTGCACTGGGTCTTGAAAGGGTAGGTAAACAACAGAACACAGAATTCCTGGGTCAATGTTTGGGAGACACGCATATTCAATGAAATTAGAAGTATTGTTTTCCACTCATATGCACTCAGGTTAACAGCAAAAGAACATGAAGACATTATTATTGTTGTTAGTGGATCTGATTTTCTTTCCCGTCAGATCACTGTGTCATTTCCAACGTGATTTCTAAAGGAAACGGACAGCACTTACATTGTACAATGTGTGAGATCAAGAGGGCAGCGCTGGTGTCGTTACACGTCAGCCTGCCCTGAGCCAGGTCCTGCTTCACTTGCAGAGCAAACAGGTACCTGCAAACAGAGAGACACAGGCATTAGAAACGTGGAGATGAGCTATGGACGGCGGGAAAGGTCGGCATCTAAGTCATGCTCACCGCTGGCAACCTGTCCACACCGTGAGCAACCAAAAAAAAAACAAAAAAAAAAAACAAGGAAAAGCAAGTCCGCAAGGCTGAAATTAATTCTGAGGCCTCTGACTGCCCTGTGAATACACACAGCTCCCTGAAGGCCTGGGAGACACATACCGTAATCCTGTCACGCAGTGAGTAATACGTTTCATTTTATATGGAGAGAAGCAGCGGTTACATATAGGTCCACGATTACTTACCCACCCTATATAGTTTTGCAGGGTAAGAGAAACAATTAACTTTTTTTTTTTTTACATTTTTTTATTAAATTATTATCTGTGTACATATTTTAACATTGCCCCCCCCATACATTCCCTCCCTCCCGAGAGTTTTGTGTTCATTGGTTGTACTTATATGCATGTATACAAGTCCTTCAGTTGATCTATTATCTCCCCCAGATTACCCTATCTGCTGTAATTTGACAGTCTGCTTATTGCTTTACTGTCTCTATATCTATCTTTTGGTTAATCAGTTTATAAGGTTCTTTATTATCCATAAATGAGTGAGGTCATGTGGTATTTCTCATTCATTGACTGGCTTATTTCACTCAGCATAGTAGATGTACCATGTTTTTTGATCCAATCATCTGCTGACGGGCACCTAGGCTGTTTCCAAAATCTAGCTATTGTAGATTGTGCTGCTATGAACATAGGGGTGCGTATATCCTTTCTGATTGGTGTTTCTAGTTTCTTGGGATATATTCCTAGGAGTGGGATTACTGGGTCAAATGGGAGTTCCATTTTCAGTTTTTTGAGGAAACTCCACACTGTTCTCCACAGTGGTTGCACCAGTCTACATTCCCACCAGCAGTGCACCAGGGTTCCTTTTTCTCCGCAACCTCGCCAACACTTGTCATTTGTTGATTTGTTGATCATGGCCATTCTGACAGGTGTGAGATGGTACCGCATTGTTGTTTTGATTTGCATCTCTCGGATAATTAGTGACTTTGAGCATGTTTTCATGTGCCTTTTGGCCATCCTTCTGTCTTCTTTTGAAAATATTCTATTTAGGTCCATTCCATTTTTTAATTGGATCATTCATCTTCCTTTTATTTAGTTGTATAAGCTGTCTGTAGATGTTGGAGATTAAACCTTTATCAGTGGTAACATTTGCAAATATGTTCTCCCACACAGTTGGCTTTCTTGTTGTTTTGTTGATGGTTTCTTTTGCTGTAAAAAAGCTTTTTATTTTGATGTAGTCCATTTGTTTATTTTCTCTTTAGCTTCCATCGCCCTAGGGGCAGTATCAATGAAGAAGTTCTTTTGGCATATGTCTGAGATTTTGCTGCCTGTGGATGCTTCTAGTATTTTTATGGTTTCCCGTCTGATGTTTAAGTCCTGTATCCATTTTGAGTTTATTTTTGTGTATGGTGTAAGTTGGTGATCTAGTTTCATTCTTTTGCATGTATCTGTCCAATTTTCCCAACATCATTTATTGAAGAGACTGTCTTGACTCCATTGTATATTCATGCCTCCTTTGTCAAATATTAATTGAGCATAGTGATTTGGGTTGATATCTGGGTTCTCGATTCGATTCCATTGATCTATATGTATGTTCTTATGCCAGTACCAGGCTGTTTTGAGAACAGTGGCTTTGTAATACAGCTTGAGGTCTGGTATTGAGATCCCTCCTACTTTACTCTTCTTTCTCAGGATTGCTGTGGCACAATTAACTTTTTTTTCACAGAACAATATCTAAAAATGGCTTTATGGCTCAGACAGTAACAGTAGTCCATTAGGGTTAGTTAAAAGCTTTGTGACGGGAATGGAAAGATAAGGGTGTCTTTTTTGCAGTGTAATATTCACTTAGACACTTCCATAAGGTTCAGCTCTCAGATGCATAAATAAATCAATTTACTTGGAAATTCTCTTCTTTATATTGTAGGATAAAGCAAGTAAACACTTTTGGCAAAAGGCATTTATAAAACAACGACATTACGGGGAAACAGTGAAAGTTAAAATTGGTTGGAAAATATCAGTAGGAACTCAGAACTTTTCAGAAAAGACATTTAGTAGTTTTGCCCACTGCCTAGAAACAGTGTCATCTCAGAAGTAACTCTTACCAACCAAACCAAGTTCTGGCTCCCACCCAATTACCCCTTGGAAGGACACAGAGAAATATAGATTCCAGGCTGGGGTAGGGAAAGGTGCAAAATGAGGGCCTTTGGGGACAGTCTCGTGTGGGCTCGAGGTGGCAGCGGGTCTGAAAGATCCCACACGTGGTTATGCAGGAAGACCTTGTCACCCTAAGTGCGCTGACTCTTTCTGTTGAAGGCCCTGGTAACACGAGAACGACTTTCCTGGGCGCTGATTTCCGGATGACAGCTGTAAGCCGAGCGTGCTGGCTGCAATGCTGACTTTAGAGACTCAGCAACAACCTTTCGTCCTACAATCTGGAGCCATTCCAACCAAATTCATGAGCTAAAGGCGAAGGTGTTCTCAGCAGACATTAAATAAATGAAACCAGCAAACACAAGGAAAATGCTCAAAAGGGCCCAGCTGGTGTTGCTCAGTGGTTGAGCTTTGACCTATGAACCAGGAGGTCACAGTTTGATTTCAGATCAGGGCACATGCCCAAGTTGCAAGCGTGATCCCCAGTGTGGGGCATGCAGCAGGCAGCCGATCCATGATTCTCTTTCTCTTTCCCTCTCCCTTCCTCTCTGAAATCAATTAAAAAAATATATATTTTTAAAAAGCACTCAAGAGGAAATGGACTAGCTTAGGATGGGAGGAGGAAGGAGATGATGGTGGCAGAAATAGTCAAGAAGGGCTTTACAATGATAAGATATGTACACATATAATAATAAAAAATTAAAAAATAAATTTAAAAAAAGGGCTTTAAAAAAAAAAAAAAAAAAAAAAAAAGAAGGGCTTTGCTCCCTGGAACTGAAAAATCACACCCATCGATGCCTGGCTTAATTTTTATTACTTATTTTCTTAAATATATTTTTATTGATTTCAGAGAGGAAGAGAGAGGGAAAGAGAGACAGAAACATCAATGAGGAGAGAGAATCACCTATCGCCCACTAGGAATAGAGCCCACAACTGGGGTATGTGCCCTTGACTGGAATCAAACCCGGGACCCTCCAGTTCGCAGGCCGGACTCTATCCATTGAGCCAAACCAGCGAGGGCAGGATGCCTGGTTTTATGCATGTCCATTTCCATTTATTTCATTGGGGAAGTCTGACTCTTTTTCCTCTTCGGTGTCATGTCCAATTTCTCTGCCAGCCTAAGAAACACCCTTCAGCAGACCTTGCCCAGCAGCGAGTTCCGATGGGGTCTCTCACCTACACAAACGCAGTCGAGTGGGAATTAGATTTGACTGACGATGGGATACCCAGTGAGAAGAGTGCCTACATGCATTAGCATCAGAAAAGTGACTCCTCAGAGCTCTGCGATGAGAAAGCCTGGTGAGTTTTTTCCAAGGAGCTTGCCCTCGCTATTAAAACTGCACCTGAGAGTCGGTGATTTTCCCTCTTTTGTCCATAGGTTAGAGTAGGGGTGTCGAACTCAATCAGAGAAGGGGCCAAAATCTAAAATCCAGCCTAAATCGCGGGCCGAATGGTTTACTGAACAGTCATAAACTGTCATTGTGATGGAAACGCAGCGGAGTGCAGTGATGACAGCGCGGTGCGGGCCACATTGCAAGGCCTGGCGGGACGGATTTGGCCGGCGGGCCTTGTGTTTGACACATGTGGGTTAGAGTTTCACCTCGAGTGCAGTCCAAGAAATAGACAGGTACTCAGCTTCCTGTTGAACCGCAAAGTGCAATGTCATCTCCCATCTGGGTAAATGGGGAGCACGGGGCTAGAGTCCCTTGGCGCTGGCTGAACTATACAGTCTGCAGGCCAGTTTCCGTCTCTCTTTCCCACACATCCTATGTCTAAATTATCACAGACCATGCAGACCTTCTCCTAAGCCCCTCTATAGCATCTGCTATAGAAAAGTCCCTGGAATCTCAATGGTTACATCCTTCCATTTTTGGGGAGTGTGGGACTCAGCATATTGGATCTGGAGGTCCTCTTCTGGTTATACCTCGTGGCAAAGTGGAAAGGGATGAAGAGCTCCTAAGTTTCATAGCAATTGTATTCACCCTTGGACCCAAAGAATTCTCTCTTCAGGGAAGATTTTTTTTTTTAAATGTCAGTTAACAGCGGGAGCCAGACAACAAACACCCAAACCCACTGCATCCAGCTAAGCTGTGTCACCTGGGGGAGCTGCCAGACTGGCCACAGCAGCTGGCAAGACACTGGGCGCACTTGGCCTGAGGGTAACCAGTTGCATGAAATTTTATAACAAGGGCCCAAATGGAAGAAAATGCCAAACCTCTAAAGGCAATGAGTCATAAAAATTGAAAAGATGCAAAAACTCATTGCAAAGTAGAAGAGGGAGGAAACGTGTGTGTGTGTGTGTGGGGGGGGGGGGCAGGGGGCAGGGGGGAATGGATTCATGCTGCCAGGTTCCAAAGCAGGACAGAACCCCAGTGGGACTCCAGAGGAAAATGCGCACTGCTGACCAACAGCTGGCCTCGCCCATAGACTTATTTCAATATTGTGAGCTTGGAGCAAGGCATGCTTCCATGACAGGAAGGCTGGCCTGGGAAACGGAGACACAGTAGCCCCAATAAGGACATCACATGAAGACTTGCCATCGGCCCCTCTGTCTTGTGCAGTGGGACGTAGTAGCTCCAGCTGCCCCTCTACTTCAGCGTCCTGGCTTCTGCAGTTCCCAGCCTCCTCTACCCGCTTCATCGATAGGAGGATTGTAAGTGGAGCCAAACAAGCAGGGGTGACTCGTTCAGAAACACAACTCCTTCTTCACCTCTCGCTGGAATCCAGGTACCCAATGCCCTTCCTGCTGCATCCATGTGATGTCGAGTAGGTGTCTCAGACACAGCCCTGCAGAAGCAAGCTCCTACCGTAACTCTCTTAGCTCCCAAGCCTCTGTTTCCCTCCACCCTTTCCACTTACTCATTCCCAACACTCAGCCAGTTGCTTCAGTCAAATCTAAGACTTTCTTCCGTCTCTATCCCCAACATGCCACCCAGATGGATGGACCCCCACCTCCAGCAAGGACTGCACATGCAGCCACACATCTCCATTTCCACTTCTACCGCCTCCTCTGCCACCATCGCCTCGGCCTGGATGATGGCAATCGCTTCCTCATGGGATTCCCTGCTGTCATCCTCCCCAGAACATCCACTAGTGGCAACTAGTCTTTCAACAGGAAGTACATTCGGGCCTCTGTCCCGCCTCACTGCACTTCGCCCTCACTGTTCCTGCCACGCGGAGCACGTTTCTGATGGACACCTGTCACTTGTTCCTGCCTTGGGCACTGCCTCCTTGGAAAGGTCTCCCTCCAGAAATGACTGACAGAAATCCTCGTTATTTCCTCAGAGAGGCACCCCAGACTAACCAATCTAAAGTCGTCACCCAGTCACTACCTTCTATGCCATCATTCTACTTCAATGACCTAAATAAAGAGCCCTACCGCTATCCGATTTTGTTGTTGTTTATTTAATAGTTTTGTCTGTTCCCACGAGAGGCAGACTTGTTTTTCCATCACTACATCCCCAGTGCCTAGAACAATGCTTGCACACGGTGCACACACTTCATAAATCCTTTTGACTGAGTATCTTCATCCCTTTCATAAATGACGGTCAGCCACCCAAGACATTGTGCTCTGTATCAGGAATGAGAGGATGAGAAAGATGCCATGGCCTTGGTCTGAAGCAGTTACGTCTGAAAGGGCAGTGTGGCAAGAATTTGGCCGGCCAGACTAGTGTACTCCAAGGGAGTATTCTGGAAAGGGAGGCATTTTAGCTTCACGTGTTCCACTGAATTCTCATCTCCTTTAGAAACCCACGCGTTTGCCACAGATTTTATATATATATATATATATAAATATATGTATTTAAATATATTTTATTGATTTTTTACAGAGAGGAAGAGAGAGGGATAGAGAGTTAGAAACATCGATGAAAGAGAAACATCGATTAGCTGCCTCTTGCACAACCCCTACTGGGGATGTGCCTGCAACCAAGGTACATGCCCTTGACCAGAATCGAACCTGGGACCCTTCAGTCCGCAGGCCGACACTCTATCCATTGAGCCAAACCGGTTTTGGCTGTCACAAATTATAAAGTCAGTGGCATTAATGATGATGATGTCAATGATGGTGATGATAATGGTTACCAACCATTTGATGTGTATTAATGCTCGTCCTAAAAACAACCACAGCCAGGCCAGCCTTACAGTCACACTGACACAAAGGAACTGAGACAGGTGCAGAGGGGCCAAGCAACCAGTCAGCCACGCAGCTAACAAAGGCAGGACTGACGCCGAAGCAAGTCCCAACCAAGGCTCACGCTTCTCCCACTTGGCCAAGCTGCCAGAGAAACCGACCACAGTTCCTGTCCACCCACCCAGGACAGCAATGAAGAGAAACTCTGAGGTAACATCTTGGTTTCCCAGGCGGGATTCACTTTCCCAAACCATAGTGCGGTAAGATGGATAAAGAGGGGAAACATGGCAGTACCAGGGTTAAATCTGATCCACTGCTTCACTGCTCGGCCTTTTGGCTAAGGTCAAGTGTAGAAACCAGGCTTTAGGGAAAACGTGGTACTTGCTTGCCCCCATGTTTGTAAGCATAACTAAAAAGCGGGTGGGGGGCAGGGGTGGGGGATCAAACTGTGAAGCACAGAGTGGATGCTGGTTAAGCAGACCTTGAGAAAATGTTCATCAAATGGACGTGGAACATGAACTTCCGTGTCTCCTCAGCACCCCATATAACAAACAGCCAAACCACTCACCTTGTGAGTTCTTCTTGGAGTTGCGTGTGGTCAGGTGGAAAGAATTTCACCACAAACCTAACAACAACATGCTTTGGCCCTAAAGAAGGAGAAAAGAAAAAAAAAAAAAAAAGCAGTTATTGATTTTCTGTTTCAAATGCATTTAAGGAAAAGATTTTCTGAGTTATATTATATACCAAATAACGAGACTCATTCCAAGTAGCCAAGAGTATACCCTAGCCACTGAACAACTAAATCACACTTTCACACTGTGAAGAAAACAAATATCTGTTTTGTGTGGTTTTTGTTATTTTTTTAATGTTTTTATTTAAATTTGTTTTTAGAGGGAGAGGGAGAGGGACTGGCTGCCTCCTGCACACCCCTACTGGGGATCGAGCTGGGAACCTGGGCATGTGCCCTGACCGGGAATTGAACCAGTGACCTCTTGGTTCCTGGGTCGAAGCTCAACCACTGGGCCACACCGGCTGAGACTTGTGCTGTTGTTTTTAAACTGTGACAAAGGTATCACATGGAGGTTTTAGACTTTTTCTCTGGAGACTTCAGTTGTACCCATGTTTGAAAGGCATTTTTCTCTTTAAAAAATTGTGCCTAATTAGCTAGTTTCGTCCAAGTGCAAGTTTTAGATCATTTTAAAAGGAGATAATGAAAATGTAAATTAGTCATGTAATTTATTGTTTTCAACTATCTACAAGGCAGAGCTGTTAATGTGTTCATCAAATATGTATATAGCACCTACATGCCAAAAGCTCTCCTGAGGTGCGGAGACAAACCTCAACCAGACCAGGCCCTGCCCCGCCACAGTCAGCCCAAGCCTGTTAAGCACCTTATAAACCATATCGGTGAGTTCAGACAAAATCAGGAAGCAGATCTGGAAGGGATGGTCAGGGAGAGATGATGAAGGAGATGAATACATTCTGTTTTTAGAATTAAAACAGAACAGGTTACAAAATAAAATAATAATTTGTAATCTGAGACTGTTGGATGTATAAGCTACAATACAAGGGCAATCGTATGGGTTCTGCGGTTTGGACTGACAGCAGTGAGTTTACGTTCCATGAGATAATAAGATACGATAGTGAAATCCCAATTTTAACAGCACTCCTATGTTTGCTCTGCCTTTCGCTATCACAAAGAAAGATGTTGTATCATAATTCCTATGCGAACGCATTCAAATTTGGGGAAGATACAAAAGTAACACATCATAAGGCAAAGATGTCACTAACATACAAAAAAATGAGGAGGAAGCAAACAAGGCACAGAAATGCCGAAGCCAAGAGAAACTGGGATTTTCCCTAATCACCACAAATGAACAAAAACCATGGCGTGTCACTGCTGGGCCACAGAACAACCATGAAGAATGGGGGAGGAGATGGGGAGGCCACGCCATTTCCTCTCAGTTACTTTCACAGACAAGGGGGTTAAAGGGGTGCTCAGACCCTTAGCATGCCATAAGGTGACCAGGCATCCTGATTTTAACAATTTGTCTGGCGTCCCGCAGCGTTTTAAAAAAGTCCAAATTTTTTGAAAAATCGGCACTTTCTTAAAACGCCGAGGGACAAATTGTTAAAAATCGGGACTGTCCCACCAAATGCGGGATGTCTCGTCACCTTATTAGCACCTGAAGTGAGGCAGATGCTGGCACTCAGGAAGAAGGACTGCTCTTCACACACACCTAGCCACAGGCCACGGAGGTGAGCAGGCGCCCAATGCTGGCCCCTGTCCTCGCATTTGCTAATGTGCTGAGAGATTGCCTTCCATCATTAGCAATTCCGCCCCTAGACTTTGCAGGGACAAATGTCATCTTTCTAGACCCTGTGCTCCCTCCACCCACCAGGCCTGGGGGCTTCTCTCTGTGTCTCCCTGTTGGATCACAGGCCAACCTCCCATAAACATTAAACAAACAATGGCGGTTTTCAGCATCAATAATTGCTTAATTTAAATGACAGCTCCACATCCATTGCAATGGCCTCAGGGCTACCCAGGCACTGTGTGTCCATTTATCACATCCACATAAATGGCTATAAGTGGCCCGGTGGGGTTTCTTGATGAGACAGAAAGGCAATCCCACAAGGTATTGTGTGCTGTGGGCTCAGCTAAAGAAATGGGATTTTTGTTACCATCCCCAGGCTCTGCTGCAGTGAGGAACTATTGGAGTGACTTTGAGAACAGAGCTTAGCTCTGAACCTGACCTTGGAGCAGTGAGAGGGGAGGCAGGTCCAGTGCTGAGGCATGATGGAAAGGGAGAGAAAAAACAAGGGTTCTCTTCCCGTTCTCTCCTCTGAGACCCTCTTTTGTCTTTTCTCCAGCTCAGGGTCTAAACACAAGCCAGGCTCCCTCCAGTGCTGTTTGCCACTCAGAAATTCAGAAACACACACACAAGCTTACAGAAAACCTTACACCAATATATGAATAAATGGCTCCACTTCCCACCCCCAACCCCCTTTGCAAAAGTGACAATAAGAAACCTGGGTTCAGATAAGGCAAATCTATTAATTGGGGGCTTAGTAGCATGGTTTAGTTGTTAATCAAAACCATATTTGATTTTCCAAGCAAACTTTTGACTACCAAACTGTGACATATTAAAATTGCAGAACACATTTTAATAGCACATGGGTTAGTGGATGAAGAAAAGCAATTATGGGGTAAAATAAAAATCTGTATCACTAAGTGCCTGACGCCAGAGGACAGCCGACGTCTAGACGAGGGAACGGGCTGGCTCAGTGTTTAACAAAACTGTCCCACATAGTGTGTATACTTACTTCTAATCTGCTTGACAATGGGTTTTAAGAGATCCAGCCACACCTACAAAAGGAAAAAAGAACAGATTGAGACACAGATTCTCAATGAACAAGTGTATTTTGAGTCTTTCCTGTGGAACTGTTTAAAATAAAAAAATTTTTGTGTACCGGAGGCTGTCCCTCTTTTCTCCAGGATTCCATATCTGACATCAACCACCATGTTCTCAGGACAGATCTGAATTTGCTAGCATTATCCCTAAGCTTCACTTAAGTTCTCTCCCAGACTCAGTGAACTAAAAACTTTTCTACTCTCACTTGTACTTTGGTCACAGTGAGCGAGTCAGCAAATATCTTTTTTTTTAAATATATTTTTTATTGATTTTTCACAGAGAGGAAGAGAGAGGGATAGAGAATTAGAAACATCGATGAGAGAGAATCATCGATCAGTTGTCTCTTGCACACCTCCCACTGGGGATGTGCCCGCAACCAAGGTATTATACATGCCCTTGCCCGGAATCGAACCCGGGACCTTTCATTCCGCAGGCTGATGCTCTATCCACTGAGCCAAACCAGTCCCAGCGAGTCAGCAAATATTAATGTATGACTGCATGTCTGGCTGCAAGCTCCTTAGTGAAACAAAACACATGTGTGCGCGTATGAACTCATCGGAAAGAGGCTGGCTATCTATAGCATGTCGCCTGGGCATCAAGTGCTATCCAGAAGCTATTCGCCTCTCAGAACGAGGCCAGAAGGACTCCTGTTACCCAGAGAGAAACCTGAGCTGTGAGGAGGTTCAATAACTTGTCCCCGGCCTCTCCACTCTGCAGCGGCGGAGCCAGGGCGGAGAGAGGCCTGTCCGACTTCAAAGCCCAGACTTTTCACACGGACTCGCCTTGGCAAGCGGTTTGAGTGGCAACATTTCCGAGAGGCTGAGAGCAGAGGTGGTGGTGTTTCCAGAAGGCAGAATATCAAGAACTATTGAAAGGTAAAATAAGATGACAACTAGGCTATCTGATGGCCAGTTGATGGGTCTGAAAGTACAATGGGCGGTGAAGAGGCAGGAAGGACGAAGAGATTTTCCTTTTGAAGAGATCTTTTTTCAATGACAGTTTACTCCCAAAATTATTTTGTATTGATTTCAGGTGTACAGTAGAGTGGCTAGACAATCACATACTTTATAAAGTGTTCCCTCTCGATATTTCCAGTCTCCATCTGGCACCATTCACTTATTGCAATATTATTGACAATAGTCCCTAGGCTGTACTCTACGCCCCCATGACTATTTTGTAACTATCAATTTGTACTTTTTACTGACGAAGGGCTTTTTCAAGAAGCTCAGCTATGGAGGAGGAGGAAGACAGGAGACTAGGAGTACAGAGCGTTAAAAAAAAAAAAATCAAAATAAGGGCATTGTGTTATTTGCTCATTTTAAAAAATATATTTATTTTATTGATTTTTTTAACAGAGAGGAAAAGAGAGAGCTAGAAACGTCGATGAGAGAGAAATATCAGCCACTGCCTCTTGCACACCCCTTACTGGGGATGTGCCCGCAATCAATGTACATGCCCTTGACCGGAATTGAACCTGGGACCTTTCAGTCTGCAGACAGACGCTCTACCACTGAGCCAAACCGGCTTCGGCTATTTGCTCATTTTTAATAGGAAGGCCCTGGGTGCTTTCAAAAGAGGGGAGGGCTGAAACTGGTTTGGCTCAGTGGATAGAGCGTCGGCCTGTGGACTGAAAGGTCCTGGGTTTGATTCCGGTCAAGGGAATGTACCTTGGTTGTGGGCACACCCCCAGTAGGGGGTGTGCAAGAGGCAGCTGATCGATGATTCTCTCATTGACGTTTCTAACTCTCTGTCCCTCTCTCTTCCTCTCTGTAAAAAATATTAAAAAAAAAAAAAAAAAAAAAAAAAGAGGGGAGGGATCGAGACTATGAGCAACAAGAGATAACCAACGTCCTGAGGGACCTGAAATGACGTGAGAAGGTAGCTCTGAAAACAGAGGGCAAGGGCGTGAGTTAGAAAGAAAAGCTCTTCCATTGCAGGGAGAGAGAAAGACAGAAAAGCGAATGGCCAATGCAGTTTACATCTCTGTGCTGGGAGGATAAGAAAGTTCCTTTTTTCTTTTTTAAATATATTTTTATTGATTTTTTACAGAGAGGAAGAGAGGGATAGAGAGTTAGAAACATCAATGAGAGAGAAACATTGGTCAGCTGCCTCCTGCACACCCACCCCTGGGGATGTGCCCGCAACCAAGGTTCATGCCCTTGACCGGAATCGAACCTGGGACTCTTCAGTCCACAGGCCGATGCTCTATCCACTGAGCCAAACTGGTTTCAGCAGAAAGTTCCTTTCTTTAGCCTTCTGTTTCCCCTGTAAAATCTGAGAGCGGGTGGACTGAGGAAGTGGTGAAGTGATGTATTATAGCATGAGACACTGAGTTAACCAGGGGATTCCGGTGGGATTCCCAGGGCTGCGGAGCGCCCACTCCTGACCTGCCACCCCGAGCTCCTTCGGCCTTCACGGCCGCCTCGGGAGAAGCATCTCTGAGGCCTTTCGCCATCGCCGACTCTGCCACAGAATTGGCCTCAACGCTGCAAACCGTTCAGGACAAAACAACTGTGCTCTGGCAGCACAGTTGCCAATTTTACAAACTGTTTTAAAACATCTCTTCTGTTTTTGGCATTTCTGCGGGAAGCATCGAATACAAGCACCGAGGTGAGCCAACTGAGCATGTGGTTTTGGAACATGTCGGTCTAGAAACATCAGCCTGCCCCCAAATTAGCCCACTTGGTCGAGCTCTGCAGCCATGATGCCCCAGGGCACCCATCACATCACAGCTGGCCTGGGTGAGAACAAGGAGCCCCGAGAACCTATCCCGTCGCCAGTCAGATGGGACAGTTGCAGAGCGGAGAGAGAAGGTCATGCACACACAAGACTAAATCTCCTACCCCATGGGTGAGCTGGAAGGGGCTTCTCTTATTTCTAAGAAGAAAAATGGGGTTGATGCTTGACTAGCGTTAAAGCACTGTCGTTTGATAGATGGGGAGGGCTACTGGGAAGCCTCTGAATGGAATCAGATTACGTGAGACAAATCACTTGTTCACTAAGTGAAACAGAAACAAGCTTCCAAGGAGGTAAAAAGGTGACAAAGCACCCTGGTCTTCCCTTCCCTGCCCACAGATCGCTCGAGGGTCACAGCTGTCATGATGGATCTCAAACCCCACCCTTCATCCTTTCAACCGAGCAACACATCCCTGCCCTCTCTAAGCCATGCCGCTGAGCATCAGAGCACAGCTGCACAGCCACAGGGATGTGCAGGGATCTGGCTAAAATGAATGAGCTTCTAGAAAGGCCACTCCCAGTGAAAGGCCACTCACCAAATCAAGGACACTTTCCCCACTGATGTGAAGGTCTGTGGGAGGAGTTTGCTAGGGCTGCCGCGGCAAAGTACCACAGACATAGTGCCTGCCACTTCCCCGGAGGCACAGGGCATTGAGGTTCAGTGTCTCCCGAGGCCTCTCCTTGGCTTACAGGTGGTTGCCTTCTGGCTATGTCCTCACACAGTCTTCCTTCCCTCTGTGAATGCCCGCGCCTGGCATTTCCCGGGTACCTCCAAATTTCTTCTTCAAATGGTGCCAGTCAGACAAGATGGGGGCCCACTCTAACAGCCTCGTTTTAACGTAATCACCCCTTCAAAGGCCCCGCCTTCAAGGACAGTCACATCCTGACATACTGGGCATTAGAGCGTCAACATACTTTTTTTTTGGGGGGGGGGGGTTGGGGGAGTGTCACAAGTCAGACTGTAAATGCTCTCTTCCACAATTTGATTTCAACTCAGCTTTCCAGCCCCAAGGTCCCCAGCTTGCATACATTGTATTCAGGCTCCCTCTCTTCCTCCCATCCCCTGTTAATGTCACTTTCCCTTTTGGAATGTGCTCTCTGCACCGAAGCACTGTTTGGGTGGGAAGAAATGGTTTAATGCCTAGGTATCAACGGCAAGGCAACATGAGTCATTACTCCCAAAGCTGTTCTCTTCTTTCCCTTGATAACTGTTTGCCCCTATTATTTTGATGAGTGACATTTTAGGTGGATTCTGTAGGTAACTGAAATATCTGAGGTATTTCGGAAAGAGTCCTATTTTTTTTTTTTCATAGTTTGCATTTATTTTTTATTTTTATTTTTTTAAAATAAATTTTTATTGTTCATATTATTACAAATGTTCCTTTCCCCCCCTTCTCACCCCACCCTCTGCCCTTTCCCCACCACCCATTGTCCTCATCCATAGGTGCACAGTTTATGTTCAGTCTCTTCCCACATCCCCCTCTCCCCTTTTTCCCAAGAATAAACAGTTCACTCCCCTTCCATACCTCTGATTCTATTATATTCAACAGTTAATATTGTTCCTCAGATTTTTTTTTTTTTAGTTTCCTTGGTTTTTAGATTCACTTGTTGATAATTACGTATTTGTTGTTCATAATTTTTGTCTTTATTTACTTTCTCTTCTGAAAGAACCCCCTTCAGCAATTCATATAATTCTGGTTTGGTGGTGATGAACTCCTTTAGCTTTTTTTTATTAGTGAAGCTTTTTATCTGACCTTCGATTCTGAGTGATAGCTTTGCTGGATAGATTATCTTTGGCTGTAGGTTCTTACTATTCATCACCTTGAATATTTCTTGCCATTCCCGTCTGGCCTGCATTGTTTCTTTTGAGAAATCAGCTGACAATCGTATAGGAGCTCCTTTATAGGTAACTACTTGCTTAGCTCTTGCTGCTTTTAATATTCTCTCTTTGTCTTTTGCTCTTGGAATCTTAATTATGATTTGTCTTGGTGTGGTCCTCTTTGGATTCCTTTTGTTTGGAGTTCTGTGCGCTTCCTGGACTTGTAAGTCTAATTCTTTCATTAGGTGGGGGAAGTTTTCTGTCACTATTTCTTTCAGTATGTTTTTTATATCTTGCTCTCTCTCATCTTCTGGGACCCCCATAATTCTGATGTTGGTTCGCTTGAAGTTGTCCCAGAGGTTTCTTACATTATCTTCAACTTTCTGGATTCTCTGGCCT